CCGATGATTCTTAGACAGCAAACGAGCTGAATATCCAAGGCAGAGAAAAAGTGGTTAACTTGCACAGAAAGTAACTGTATGCTAAAGTACGGAAGATTCCATTAAGGAAGAGGACTTAAAGAGAAAATTTGAGCAGTTTCCAGTTGGGAGAAAATAATGATCTAGTGATGGGTCTGCTCTCGAACTACAGTAGGACCCGGCAAGGTACTCGTGACTTTTATCTGTGCTTTTATCTGTGGAACCACCGGACGCGATAATCCAACGTTCTCAATTGCACAGCAGCATAGACAACCTCAGTCTGAAGCTCCCAAAACTCCATTCAATTACTGCCGGAAGTGCTAGGGTATCCGTAGAAGCCATTCTCGCATTCAACGCGGATTTCCCGTTTGAATACTACTCTGATATACCCAGTTGCGCATAATGCATCACTCTACCGTGAACCCCATGCCAACGTTTTTCGTGCCCTTCTCTATTCGGAGAATGGAGAAGGGCATACGAAACATGAAAAGGTCGACTCCATCTGAGGTTCCCTCTCGATGCACACGAGGAAATATCATCTCTAACAGCACTTTTTTCATTTTCCATAGGCCGCACATTTCTCATTCGTTCCAATTCGATCTTGGCTCCATTGCCCCCAACCGGGGTACAATAGCTCGTACTGAATGGCAGGAATTGCGGGATTTCTTTTCCGTCGAGAAATCGAGACTGGAATAGTTCATAGAAACGTTTATACTCATGCGGAAGTGCATTGAGCATTTCCTCCAAGGGAAAGAGGAATGCAATGGTTTGGTTACGTCATGGGCTCCTACTGCATGAAAGGGAGGACATTCCGGATTTCCTACACTTGTGTCAGGCGCTAAAATGTCGATTGCCAACAAGGCCAGGAGGAAGATAAAAAGTTCCTCTGGAATGCTGCGTGGGCGTCGTAGGATTCATTCTATTCATCTCCGAAAGAAACACAGAGAGACCACACGACCACACACGAATAATTCCTTATGTTTTTTATTTTACCAATCATCCTCCTTGGTTGCATAATGCCAGGATTAGGTTTCTGGAATTGACTCAATTATACAGGGTGATCAAAAAGGTGTGAACCAAAAAGCAAATAATGTCTTCTGAACTGAACCTGGCCCACACTTTCATGTTTCGCGAACTAGATGACACATTTGCCTTTTTCATGTGGTGATGTCATCTCAGCTGCACTGCAACAAACTCCTGTGGGAAAACATTTTGGAGTGTTTCTCACCATTTGCATCAATTCAACCTTTTCATTCACATATCGCTCGTGCAGCAATAATTTATTTTTGGGTCATACCTTTTGGACACCCTGTATCTCTCTATGAACCATTCGGCTTCCATTGCGAGTTGGGTAAAGCCGTGGATTTCTTGATAGACACCGTGGTAGTGATGCTTGATCGCAGCGCAAAGTAGCCCTTGCCCGTGCATTTTCCACTCGCTCAACTCAACGTTCACGCTCACGAAAGAACTCCACAACTGATACTCTCCTTTCCTTTGCTAGGTTTATCAGTTCGGGAAAGATGAGGCTTTGTAAATAGTCGAAATGGCCCACATTGGTCAAAATTAAAGTCCAACAAATTTAATTTCTGTCAGCTCAAACAACGCTGCAAGGTCTGAGGTTTATGAAAATCAGAGTTCAGCAGCTTTAACCCTGTAACTACCAGAACCCGGATGGTCATGTGTTTAACTCTTTGTTTCATCTCTTCATTCCCAAAGAAACTCTTCAAAATACTTTGCCTGATTTCTATCACATGTCTTCATGAAAGCCCATGGAGTATCAGCCAAACTTACGGTGCAGCCTACACAAATGGCTCAATTTTTGTATCGCGGTCCAATCGGACCCAGAACGGGAGTTATAGGGTTAAGCCCAAGCTCGAGCTACCTTGAGATCACCTGTGCAAACACGATCTGTAGAAGTGGATTAGGAGTCAACCAGCCGTCATGGAAAAAAAAGTTAAACTCAAGGGAATTCCGTGCCCGAAGATCCTTCCACATTCCAGGGCTCCATAAGAAAAGAGAAGAAACTGGTTCATTGGAGAGAGGTATCAAATAATCATGTGCTGCAATCGTGCTCGGTGAAGCGATCAGAACCGTTAACTCGGGGCTAAGAAAATAAAGCAGTTCCCGGTAGAAAATTCAAGAAATGGTAGAGAAGAAGAAGAGGCGAAAGTTGAAGTTAGATGTTAGGAAGTTAGACGAATGCAAATGTGAAACTAAGTGAAGAAATTGTTCTGGCAAGAAGTGATCCTTGTTCAAGGACCCAGATTCTGATATACGCCTTTCTCAGGAACGGAACAATATAGATATCAGACACATAAGCCAACGAGTTGGAGACTTAGATACTACAGTGTGTATGTAACTGTGAGACTATAATCCAGAACAGGTTTGTCAAGAAAATTAGCTATAGGCTAGGCTAAAGCAATTGAAGTAAACAGAACATCAGATGAAAGGAAACGGACCACCGGGATAGGTCATGCAGTAGTACTCTTCTGCAATAGTTAGATAACAGTAAGTTTTACTAAACAAGTTGAATTACTTTTGCAAAAATCAAGTTCTCTAGACATTTTTCTCTAAGCTTTACATGCAAAAAGTATATTATGAAAGATGAAAGTATCGATTTACCTTTTGAAGGTACGAGGGATGATTTAAAAGATTCCCAATTGAGAATTTAAAAACACAAACTCGTTTTAGGCCCAAAATTGTTTCAATGCTGTATGCAATCTCTTTGAATCAGATACATTATGGCTCAGCGATCCACAGTCCTCACAAAGGCCAGTTTTTTACCCTGCAGTAGTCGCGGGGGGTATTTTATTTCCAAACCCCACGATGGGAGGAGGGGAGAGGGGGCTTAAAACTTCGTGAATGCTGTTTAGAGTTAGTTTAGAGTTAATGCCCTTCAATGCCATAGCTACTGCAGCCTTCACTTCATTTTAGCCGCCCTGTCGTTCTCCACGATCCTTGTTGTTCTTGACTGGAAGCAAGTTAAAGCCACAGGCGCTCAAGTCTGGAGAGTATGGGGAGCAGGTAATATTCCCCAGCCCCAGTTTTTCACAACAGTTATCACACTACTTGAGATGCGAAGCCGCATTTTTCTCGATGACTCCTGATGCAAGACACTCGTATCTGCAACTTAAGGGGCAAAAGCGTCGTCTTTCCTTGCGCACCTCATACATTCTGCAAGAGCGGAATGCCTTCCTAAACAGGAGACAACTAGGGACATAGCCAAGATTTTGCCAAAGGGGAGGAATTTCCCTAGCTTCTCCAGGCGGAGGGGGAAAGGGTGACGGATGCATTTCGACCGGAGTTGGGGGGAGGGGAGGTTAGAACCAAACTTGGAAGGACTGAAGCCCCCCAGCCTCCCCTAGCCTCCCCTAGCCACTGGAGACAGCCAATGCCAGGAGTGTTGCTACGTCTTTTATAACAGTAGAGAGATGTTATATAATGTATACGGTTCAAGAATGTAATATATTTTGGGCCAGAAGTATGTTTGATATAAAGCACATGAATTTCTGTTATGTCGAATCACCATAGATTAAAATATTTTTAGATCCTTTAAATCCTGTCGTGCACTTCCGATTCTGGCTTATGCTTCCTACTACTTTTGACACTCAATCTCCTTTTCCAATATCCTTTAAATCGAATTAATTAATTGCCCCTTCTGCTTTATCCTAGAAGACCTGAGGTGAAAATTGTACAGACGAAAACAAACTGTGCAGGGTAAGCAATGGCAATTTCCTGCTATTGACACGCTCGCAGAGACCACTGTGACTCTCGAGAAAGGTCGAGTCTCCTCAAGTTACTTCTGTTTCCATTGTGAATTGACGGGCTGAAAGGCAACATGGTCTATCTGCAAGAAGAATGCCCGAGAAAATCATAGTTGATTTAGACCCATAAGGCCCTTAGCACATAAAACCCTTTTCCCTTTCATTAAAGATGGTAGTTTTGGGGATATATGTAAGGGAGAAACTGGTCTTCATCGCATATCATACGTACTCACTTCCAAGAAGACGATCGCTGGAATGTTCATTCTTTTCGTTTAGAGCTGGATAAAATAATTTATCTGCACATACACCATTTTGCCTTTTAGCCCTTCAATTATTTATCAGGACGTCCACGTACTAGGTTATTCACGAAATTAGTTCTGTCCTTTACTACTTTTTTTCCTTTTATCCTTCCAGCCATTTGGGGACGTAAGGTCACAAAAATCGTTACCCTGCTTTGTATGTACTTCTAATGGGCTTCCAGTAAGTTCTGAATAGGTGCCATCATGGACGCAACGGAGCAGAAGAGGCTGCTCTGACTCCTGCCTGCACTGCTAGGAACTGCTTAGTTTCTCTACCTGTACCTAGATGCCCTTACATGAAACACTCCGATTAGATTTCCTCGCTTCTTTTTTTTTTGCTTTTTGACATGATTTGCCTCACGTCAAGATTTTATTCGTGTATTTGCTCATCTATCCTGAAAACTCCTGTTTTTGCCTTGCTCTGTGTCCATTTCCCTTTCTCAGCTGAAATGAATAATTTAAATAAACAAGAAAAAAAACAGCCCCGAATCTCCCCTTTAAAGGATACTATTTCAAAAAGGAGACGAATTTCGATTCTCGAGCGACTTGGGTGATGATTTATACCAAGAAGGATGCTTTGAATAAATAAATAAATAAATGTTTTACCATCACAGTCACGTGACTTGATCGGTTTAGCAAGAATTCAACGAGGAGCTGCGATATGGTTTTATCAGGCATTGCAGTGAACTACTTCCGGATGATGAGCCCCTTTCACAGAGCTTTGATTCTTCTTTCCCCATCACCCCGCGGCATTTCTTTCGGAGGAGGGAGAAAGAGATGGAGAACTGGATTCTATGGTTTTTCCCGAGGCTAGCGTTATTGCAACTAGGCCTGATGCCTGAGGCGTATCCATCGTTGGAGCTGCGTCGCTTGGCCTTAGGCCATCCAGCGCCACCATGGCTCAGCCCGTAGATCTCCCCACGGGCATTATTAACCCAACTTCGCCTGCATCTACACATTGAAAGTACGCTGAGCGGAAGGAGAGAGAGAGAGAGCCAGCTCGGTTCTCTCTCTTCCAGTGCTGCTCGCTTTCGGTGTTCGGGCCACAATCATCATCATCCTGGAGACGAAACCACTTAGGTGAGTGAGCAGTGCAAAGGGTTTGGTGGGGGAGGGGAGGGGGGAGTGAGTGTGTGCATATATCTGAATTCCCCCTCCCTCCGCCCTTTCCCTCTGGCTGATCTGGCGAATCGATGACGATCTTGGCTCTCGCGACCATGTGCTCGCTTTACTTCCCTCTTTTGTACTTTTTTTGCTGCCGCCTCCTTTTCCTTTGCCGGTGGAATGTCTACGAAATCATTCAATATATCCAAAGTAGGTTTCTTATTTCACTCCTGATTATAGGCTGTCTGCAACTGAGATGAGGTTAAGTGGGTGACAGATGTAATACGTTAAGTTGCATGCATGCCCAAGGTTTTTTCTTATTTGGAGAAGAGTTTCATATGGACGAATCTATAGTGGATAGGGAATACAAAATACGTTCTGGTTACACCTAGTTATTTCCCAATTCCTCACGTTCTACCTGTCCCGAGATTTGCGTTGTTGAATCCTCTATAAAAGAGGTGGGAGACAAACCTGGACCGACCACTGGACTGTCTCGGTCGTGTGAGTGTGTCGTTGGGCAATCGTCGCCCGGAGCTCTATCTTGGATCTATACGAAACCTCCCTTCGGCCTTCACTCCTCCAAACCATATTCACATCCAACGCAACTTGATGAGAGCGGCAGGTGCCAGACATGTATTTCTGTTGACACCAGCTCCATCCCTTGCGACAACGTAGTAGGTGTGAGCGGCGTGACTTAGGTGGGTGAGACGATGGCGAGCATTGTACCGGTAATTATAGGGTGGTCAGCTGACTGGTTTGTCCTCCAGGTGAATGGAGGACTACGAAGAGGATCTCTCAATGCGAGCCCAATTATTGTGAGTGAAGCCCGGAGCGTGCCCGTTTCTAAGCGTGAAGAGCCTTTTTTCATGTCCTTTAGGATGTTGGTATAGTTGTAGCCGGAGGCCTATGGGATCCTGCTCTTCGACGCAGGAGGCGACGCATTCTTAAGCCCCTCCCGAGTCGCTTTAGGCGAAACTCCAGGCTATGAAACTATAGGAATGTGGGCTGAACTATCTAAGACGGAGATTTTCGCCTGGCAGCCTTGGTTGGCTTGGCCCCCTATTTTTTGTCCACTGTACCCTTTCCTGGAGGACGACACACAGATATAAGCGCAAATATGATTGCCTCCGTCTCTCGCAACCCGTCATCACTTAACCCCTCAAGCGACGAACCTGTCTGAAGCAATTTGCAGTATTAAAGTGAGTTACCTGTGACAGAAGTAGCTCTTGAGTTACCTGTGACAGAAACGCCAGCATTGTTTCGTATGAAATATTTGTTATCTGCGATTCGGTCAGGGCTTGGGATGGAGCTATCTACCCCTATAAATTTTCCCCCTCTAGGAAAAGGCGAAATCTTCAGTTGTAGCTCCTGAACGCATCTGAAAACCAAGATAGTCCAAGTTGAGTCCTCGCGTGTCTCTGCTTTGAATCATGTCGAAAACATGTAGGGTAATATTTTATTATTGCAAAAAAACTAATCGTTTCTATGAGACAAGGGTAGCTTCTTGGATGCGACCAACAATGGTAAGTTAGAAAAGCGACTGATATTGGAATGCTGAGAGGTGTTGGAATGAGATTTTTTTCAGTACCAATGTCTAAACCGTAAAATGCCCCGTTACACAATTTACAAGAGAATCCGCCGCAGGTGTGTAAATGGTCGGTGCCCAACCATCTAATAACTCAATGAAATTTGGCGTGCAGTCAGACTGCAATGGAACGACCACTAATTTGGAATTAATAACCAACTTTTCCATTTGAAAGTGGAGAAACCAAACTTCGGTGTCATGATTCTCACAAAGAATCGTAGTATTGAGATTTTTAAAATGCTTTATCCGTAGTTCTTGAATTGAAAATTTACCTACGAAGCGCAAATATCAATTAAGTCTGCTCGCACATAAAAAAGCCATAAATCCTCTTTCGCTTGAGCTCTAATTGGAGGGATCAACCAACTCTTTAGGACAAAGAACAATAAAATTAGCATTTGGGATATGGGGGGGGGGGCGCCACTTTCTTCCATGGTGGAAAATTTAAATCCTTCGTATCGGGCCCTTTGCCGTAGACACTTTTTTGCGTAAGGTATGGGCACCGCAATCTGTCGGCATGCCAAATTTCATTGAATTATTATATGGTCGAGCACAGACCATAGGCGCACTTGCGGTGGAATGATTCTTCTGTACAGTAAATTGTATGATGGGACATTTTACGGTTCAGACAAAGGTACTGAGAAAAAACGTCATTCCGACGCCTCGCAGCCTTCCGATTTCAACTGCTTTTTTAACATTCCATCGTTGGTCGCATGCGCGAAGCTAACTTCTCCATTAGTGAACGATTAGGCTTTTTTTTCTTCAAATCGCCTTATAGGTCAATAAGACAGATGAGACGCGAACTTCTCAATCTACTTTCCAATAATGGGGAATATTTTCAGCAATAGCATATTATTAGGAGGATCGACACGCACAATGTGATTGCACGAAGCAGTATAGCGCACAATTAGAAATCTTATTTTTCTGGACACCACCAGCTTCTTCATTTGATTATTTTCGAAGCCTGTATGCACGTGAAATTAAGGATAATATGATATTATCCTATTATTATTCTGGGAAGTGGGAAGATCTGTATTATAGAACTTGCGTGAGACGATTGCTTCCCCCTTCTAGGGAATGAATTTCTGGCTGCGAACTTATACATTCTGACGTGGACAGGAAAGTCAGGGATGAATCTCTGATGTATTGATACATTTTCGAGGTTTACTTGGAATGAAGACGGTATAATTTGCATTTTGTGTCCGACTTCAGTCGATCTGAATGGTGTCAGTAAGAAAAAAAGACACTGGAACTGGCGAAAGCAGATTTATCGAATGAGCCGTGACTCGTGGAACGAGGGATTAAGGGTTATCCGCAGGATAATTGGGTAGGATTTCACTTCGCTATTGTCGAGGATATCCTACTAACCACACGTATCCCAGAATTAATTAGGCCCAGCACGCACAAATTAGCATCCATAAATTCTCATATACAGACACGAATCTAAGCCTGGGTGAATTACCTCCCATCCCGCACGGGAGACACAGTTACCCCATGGTTGCTTAGTGAATACGTCTCTCGGACATTTTCGATCTCGCCTTGACCGTTCACGCATTCTGTGACGGTTTGCACGACTACCGTGGCTTCTCGGAAACAGGTCGAATTTGAACGAGAATGGGTTTTCAATTTTACTTTCCCCTCTCGACGTCAAGCTGAAGCATTGTACAGTAGCCTCGTGATGCCAGGGTGAAGGGATTAGAAACTGGCCCTTGAGGCGTTGTCATCTCGATTCAGGTCCGATAAATAAATATAAAAAAACATGGATCCCCCTTAAGGTCTCTGTCCCCGATGTAGGACGACATCCATGTTCAACTGTATCATGGGTCCACATGAGAATTAATGTAACTGAGTTGATGTTATTCCCCTAGATCTCCACGCGGAAAGAAGCACTTCTCATGTAATTGTCTTAGCTGCATTTCACCCACAACGAAGTGAGGTTTGCCTCTGCCTGGAAGCCAGACAGTCGAACATCCACCATTTCTTTCTCTCAGTACATTATCCAAAATACCCCTCTCCTGACATAATTCTGATTGCGAGACAGGTTCCTCTATGACATTTCTCTCGCACGCTAGAGCCTGCTCTCGAATCTGACATAGGGCACACCTCGATTCGTGACCTAGTGTGTCATTGCCAGGGGCAATACCAGCGGGAAGTAGGGTTTTTCGTGGATGAGAATGATACATTTTCTGATCCCTTCACTGCGTGGGCCTCACGAGGAAGAGCCTTTCGTTGTGCTGTCAGTCAATTTGTGATGACTTCAAGAGGCATTAACTCTCAGATTTTCTTTGTTGAAAGCTCGTGCGTTTTGTAACTGCGTACATGAGGAGAGATGAGCTGGGAAAAAAAAGTCTCCTCGTCTCCTTGGTCTTTGCCCACCGTGGAATCGCCAAAGTCATGAACCTCACCAAAAACGAAGCTTGTATCTTCCTCATTTATTTGATCCGCAAATAAATTTTCTCATTAATCAGGACAATGAGTTATTGTAGAACAAGAAAAATGAGAAGACAGTGGCACACGCCGCCAATTCGGAGTGAAAAGGAGACCCTCTAAATAATAATAATAAATTAAAAAACAGCCCTCAAGGCAAACGAGGAGAGGCATTTTTCTCAGATGCAGGTGTGGACATTCATCATGGGGCAGAGTTACGAAGCAGGCAAAAAATATCCGAGTTTCAGGTGTTACAGTTCCTGGGTTCGTGATCCCTCATTTGCTTCCAGACTTATCGATCTTTCCGGCCTGATAGTCCAGAAATGCTCTAGTCTTGCTTTAAGCCCTTCATAGAGCCTTTTCAAAGTTTGTGAACCTGAGGATGTTTGGGTCACCGGTTTCAATATCATCTCCCATATTTTAAATATGTTCTTGAGAAAATGAAGCTAAGGGGTACGATCAAGGAGGAGCCTGAGGAGGCGGTCCTACATTGAAAAATAAGGCGTCATTCATTTTTAATTAAACGTTCATTTTCGTAACGATGTTCTGCTTCAGTCTGTACTCGATATTCCGAGCTACCAGTCAGGGCTCAATATTCCGATTTTCGAGCCCAAGTTCACCCATTTCTAACCTGTTATGCTTGATGCGCTGTATGCATGACGAGCCTGGCATATTTGAAGGAACTCGTTTTATACTTGGAAATATCAAGCCCAAAATACGATGTACTCTTCCCACGAGTAACAGCGTGACGTCGAGTTTCGAGCTCAAGTGCTGAATCGAGTTTCCGTCGCTACTCAAAGGTGCCCGTCCAGAGCTCAAGTTGAGGCACGGGTGCTTTTCATCCGAAGGCCTGCACATCATTGCTCGTCATGGGGCAGGATGGCATCTCAGGAAGACTGAGTTTTGACTTAAGCCATCTCTCCAAAATTAAAGTCGTAAAGTTGTGACGCAAGGCCACCGAACCCGGAATCTTGCACCTGACCGTAACTGGCGCCTCATGCTACTCCCCTTCTTTCTCCTTCCCCACAAATGCCCCGTGCACGGTACCTACGGTGCTAAGTGTCTCACGTTCCGGTTGGTCGTGGCGAGACACTGGGGGTGTTTGCAGGGCACGAACGGGAAGGGACTTCCTTTTGCTTCGACTTGAGGTCTGCTCCTGATATTTTAAAACTTTAATTGAATGCTGTCTCTCGCGAATCGTTATGGAATGAGTGCTTCTCGTCTTCCTTCTCCTGGTTTCTTTCCCGAGGCAGACGTTTTTCCAAAGAAGGTACCAGGAATAACTCACCCAAAGTGTATTGATAAGGCGAAAGATTAATCTGAGATGATATCAGATTGGAATGGAATGGAACGGCGAGCGAATTTTCGCGTGAACTAGATTTGCCGAAGTGAAAGAGCATTCATGAGTCTGTTCTTTATGATAGGCGGAATCGAGTTTCGGCCACTCCCAATCCAATAGGCCATTTACAATCAGGGCAGATTGTTGGAATGATTGGAAGCTTCAGTCGCAAAAATGTTGTTACGACGGTCTAGATGAGAACTTCAATCGAAGCAAATGCGAGAAAAGACACAATACAGTCCCAGTGAAGGTGCCACGTGAATATTGATTTATTGATTTGCTTTTTAATTGGCACCTTAAGGGGGGAAGGTTTCACGTCACCACACATTCCAGATGGAGGAACATAAGGCCTACGATGGTTTCGTATTATTTATTCAGGGGGGGGGAGCATTATAAAGAAGGACCTCTTCTCAGCCATCCCCCAAGAAAAAAAAAAGCATTTCGAGCACATGACAGGATATCCTCCAGAAGCAATCCAGGAGAGAATTTATATTATTATTATCTCGACTGTCTTGTCGTGACGTGTTGAACATCTCGTAGATGCGATTGGGATGAGGCGCTGTTAAGACGCCTGATCTCGCGAGGACAAAACTCCCCGCGGCTGCTGTTGAGTTAAGAAAGGAAAAGAACGGCTGTATCCTAACGACGTTTCTGAAGAGCGTAAAAACTTGGTTATTTGGGATCATTTCATTTTTTCTCTCTGCTCCTCCTTCCTGTCCTTTGTGATGCCGACGTGTTTCGGCCCTGCCCCGTGGTCAGAAGTGGCCCAAAAAATGCCACCTGGACTTCTTCTCTCTATACCTCGCTCCTCTTCAATTTCGTCTTTACCAGGCTTTGATCCTCCTGGTCCATGACTGAGTGTTCTCGTAATTATGTTGCATGCAAGAACGTATGTAAAAGTTCACCGATTCCTTTGCAGGTTAGGGAATGCTGGAGTGTCTCCGGCATCGCCGGCAAGCTCAGGATCTCCATCCCCATCACCGACGACTCCAGGCAGCTATAATGCTCCTCCAGTCTCCCACTTCAACCACAAAATGGCTGGGATCCCGTGCGTGGCGGCCGCATCCCGATACACGGCTCCCGTCCACATCGACGTCGGAGGCACTATTTATACGTCCTCTCTGGAAACCCTCACCAAGTCTGTTCCCTTTCTCTCCCTCTCCGTCTCGTTTCCCTTTATCGGCCAATGACCTTGCACAGTCATCGAATACTTAAGATGTCGATTCTAAAACTACCTTCCAGTGAGAGGAACATCCCGTTCGTGTTCTGTTCTCTCTATTGCTCGTACGGATAGAAGTCAAGTAGGCGAAGCCACGCAATGTGATAATGTGATAACGTGTGCATCGAGAACTTCAGTGACTCTAGTTGCTGAATATTTGTATGTGGTTGTTTAGTGGGTATTCGTGAACTCTGATTGATGTGATGGAGTGATGGTAACCTGACGATTTGCAGGTTCCCTGAGTCTCGGCTGGCGAAGATGTTCAACGGGACCATCCCTATAGTTCTGGACTCCCTGAAACAGCATTATTTCATCGATCGAGATGGAAAGATGTTTCGCCACATTCTCAACTTCATGAGGAATTCCCGGCTTGTACTTCCCGAGGGATTTGATGAAGTCGACATTCTCCTGGAAGAAGCCAATTTCTTCGAGATCCCGCGTGAGTCTCCCCTTCACAGAGCCTTCTCAGTCTGCTCAAGTGCTTCATTGGTTGATAAAGTCAAAACGCGAGAGGCCCATGCAGGGTTAAATAGATGTATCGTGCTGAACACAGCGCGATACACCTACTTAACTCCATGAATATTCTTACTATTCCTACTTAACAACGATAAATTTGATTAGCAAGCAAGTTCATTCGTTGAAATGGGTGCAAGATGAGGTAAGATGAATGGAAGGACGGAGAGGTATCATAATTATCTCCAAGAATAAAAGGGTGGTTCATAAGTTTGTTGTCACTATACTTACGTTTATGCCCCACTAAGAAACCATCCATACTGCCGAAAAGAACAATTTTTTCCCCTATGGAATACCTAAACTGCCCTTTCCCGAAGAGGACAAGTAGACTGTCATAAGAGTGTTCATCGGAGTGACCCCAATCCCGACGGCATCGTGGAGGGGAAGTTGAATGCCTCGGGTGTCTGGGTGTGGATGAGGATGTGGAGTGCCGCGGGGCTGCATTTCGTCACTGGCACCGTCAGCTGGAATCCCTGTCTTCAAATTCTGAATCATGTGCTGTTCCCATACATTACAGACTTGGGAAGTGTCATGCGCTTCCAACGGCGGTGCTCCACCGCATCACGACAAACACATTTGCTCCTAGATGCTCAATTTCCTTCTTTATGGATGAGTCGGCATGGCTCCCCTGAGTCTTCCCTCAAAATCACCTTACTTGACCTCCAAGGACTTCTTTTTTTCGAGTAATTAAGAACGTGTGTACGCAAGGAAGTCACCAAAATCGAGGAAATGAGGATGACGATCAACGCTGGAGTCAGCACCATTCCCACAGAAATTTTGCAGAAAGTGTGTCATTCGACCCTGAGCAGATGCTGGTCAAAACAAGTGCAGATGCTGATCATTGCTCGGAACAGAAAGCATTACTAGCATCACGTACTTTGAAACCACAAGGCCTGTAGGGAAACAGCCTCTATTTCAACGGTGTAATTAATTTCCTCGTGGGGAGTACACTTCTCTTCCTGTAGGCTTATGTATAGTGGTAACAAACTTACAAATCATCCTGTACTCTCAAGTTGTTTTTGTGGGTTCGCGTGTTTTCGAAGAAGGTATGGGTTAAAGCTACTTTGCGAGATCACGAACTTGCATATTTGCGGTCCACCGCGGAAATACTTTGTTAACCTTTCCTTAGAACCGCCTATGGTCACACTTCGTACCATGCCAGGTAGCAATCTGTTTCATTCTCCAATCTATAACTGAAGAATACCTGCCTATGTTTTTCCTCATCCTAGGTTTCTGTAATTTCGTGGAATGCCCACCCGTAGTGATGACGGATACTTGAAACTAAATTCAATCCATATCGCTAATACATACTTGCAGCTTAACCATTTCCACTTAGTATCCTTCCGAGACACATTTATCTAAATAATTTCTACACAATCCATTGGCCAACATTTACATACTATTTTCTTTTAAAACATCTGTAACCTTATCGTGAAACTCCATGCAATTATTACTTGAGTTCTCATGAGAGCTCTTCCTTAACTATCACAAAACCTTTGCAATACGATCTGTAAATTTTACTTATGCGTGAAGACGGCGTAAATCTCGTTCGGTAGATGAAGCTTTCCCATGTTTACCCGTTGATCTTGTGAAGTCGACTGACTCTCCGTCGCAGAACTTTGCCTTCAAACTTAAAAAAATGAGAGCTTTAGGAGTGATAATGTACGCAGATTATCATGGCAGGATCTACATGGGAAAAAAATTAACTGCTCATGTCTGACGTTTCTGTAACTCATAGTATAGCTCCATTAAATTAAGAAAAACGACCTGCCTCTGCTGAGAACGACGTATGGACTTCCTGTGTATTCCAGTAATGGCTCATGCGGTATGCCCTCGAATTATTTGCTGTGGTCGTCGGACTTAGCCTAAAATGACTCACTTCTTCTTTCTTGTTTCGTTTGGTTACGTTTGTTTGTTTATTTATTTTTTATTTTTTACATGAGAACAACCTTTGCTGCTTTCCAGTCGTTTGGTAAGGCCATTCTATGAGGATGTTCAATTGCCATTGACGTCTCTTTGATGACTTTGATGATGAAATTCCGTTAGGTTATCCGAATATTTATTTGACCAATTTTTTTTGTCATTATCCTTTAAGTGTACGAGGGAGACTTCAGAAGTACTTGCACAAACACATATTTCCGCATGACGGCGTTCTGTGCTTCTGCTCTAATTGCTGATTTTAACTTTCCACGTAGTCTCCGTTTTCATGCGGCTGTTAGGTCTATTTATTTCATCCTTTACCAGCCCATTCTATCTGTTACCGTATCTCGGGGGCGGCCGGATCTTTCCGCGTCCACGAAACTGCTGCGATCGCTTTGGAGGCGTTCCAATTATTTGACAATACTGCCATGATCCGGGATGCCCTTAACAGCATAACCAGCCTTCAGCATACAATAAATGTCTGCATCCGCATACTTTCCAGAAACCAGAAATCGGATGACAGCATGCTGCTTCTCAGAAGTCCACACTACTTGCCACAGTGGTCATTTCATTTACTGCTGTATTATTGTGCATTCACATAACGAGCGCCTATTCAGAAGGTATGGGCATATTAACCACGACGGTGTGTTTTTAATAGTACACCCACGTACACCTCTTTTGTGGTCAGTGCGAGTACTTCTGGAATCCCAATGGAACATTATCTTAGAGCTTTGTGACGTTTCGATTACTCATTTTCATACACTCTACAGCGATGATGAAGCAACTGGAGGAGTACAAGAAACAGCAACGGGGGAGGTCGCTGAAGATGGAGGGCGTTGGAGTGGCGAACGAGAAGAACGGGACACATAAAGGGAGTTCCCTGTTGCATCAACGATCTACGTCCAGTTCGGACCTGAGCACCAGTGGCCCCGGTGAAGGAATCGAATGTGTGGCGTTGAACATCTGCCCCGATCTCGGGGAAAGAGTAATGCTTTCGGGAGAGAGGTTGATTCTGGAGGAGATATTCCCCGAGATCGGTCAAGCCCTCCTGGATGCACGGCAGAGTGTGGCCTGGAACCAGGACGCTCGACATGTCATCCGCTTCCCCCTCAACGGATATTGCAAGATCAACTCCATTCAGGCCATTAAAAGACTCCTTGGTGCTGGGTTCCGGATCGTAGCCAGTAGTGGTGGTGGCGTCGAGGGACAGCAGTTTTCCGAATACCTCTTCTGTCGGAAATCTACTCCACTATGAGATGCCAACATCTTCACTCCCCAATTCTCCCCCTTTTGACCTTGACCTTGCATTAGCATGCTCTTTCACCTCAATGTTGAGTCTCGTCAGGAAAACCAATCACATCAAAGTCCGTGTGCCAAATGGAGGACCTGAAGCCCTCGCTTTTCGTGCAAACGCGCTTGTGTCGTTAACACCATCGGAGTCCCTTAGGGTTGATAGAAGGAAACAGAGAGCGAAAAGAAAGTTACCTCATTAATTTTTTCCCCTATTAGTTTTTACCTAATATGGAGATAACTGCTGTACTTGATTGTCTTCGTCTTGCCTAATCTGCTTGTTGCTCGAGGAGCTTCTTGAGCCCTCTTTTGTCTTAGTCACTGAGAGACGTGTAGTGTATGAGCGTCTCTCCCCATTGGCCTGATTGCTTCTTTTCTCCTAGTGCAATTTCAAAGTTGACCCAAGTTGTGGCTCTGGTGTAATCAAAGATTTGCCGGCATTATAATTTTTTCCAGCTACAGATAACCAACGCGGCTTTCTTTTCGACTCCTGACATTTCCAATCGAGTGCAAAATGTGAGAAAATATTTAAAACCGTTTATTTTTCATACCTCCATACTACTTTTCCCCCCCTTGACTCAGTTATTACCTAGTTAAGACTTACGAAAGGCTAATGCTAAAAGGTCTATTAGAAGTATTGCTTTCTGGTTTTACGCTTACACGTTGACATCGATATGCGTGTGAAGAGGCCAGCTGCAGACTGATTTTTTCTTTTGTTGCCCAAGGTGCTTTGACATTGTGCCAAATCTGCATTCATGGAGTAGACATCCTAGTTGATCTCATGAGATGAGGAAGTCCATGGATTCAGAATCTGGAAACCACCACAATATGGAGTGCGGAACTTTTTTTTCAAGTGCCAATTTTTTTCGCCTCAGGAGGGTGCTTATATTACAGAGAGACAGAGTAAAAGCCATATTATTGTGTCAAGCACTCGTTTTGTCCATTTCATGTCTTATTTCTTGAACGAGGGCGGTGGAAAGGAACAGGAGAACGTTGGTGTGAAAAAAAGACGTAGCCGAATGTGAGAAATAGCAGGGAATCGTCTGGAGAGCACGATGATATGGCTCAGCAAGCATGACTTGTCTTTTCGTCATCCGAGACATGACGGGTGATAACGAGCACCATGGCCATGGCAGCTTGGCAACTTTCGTTGAATGCTCGAATATCCTCTGCCTTGACTAGTATCAGGAGCAACCTCGTGACTCTCGTCATGCGTGAAACCCTTCTCAATGCTTGGCATGAGGAATATCCTCGAGATTTCCGGAAGTGGCTACCCTACGTGACAAATTGCTCCTGGACGATCGTCTGCAGTAAATTGTAGGCATGATTATTATTTACAAATATACGCTGCGGTTGAAGAAATAGTCAAGTGTGCAATTTAAATAACGTTCTAGTGCTTTTTTGATGAACAAACATATGACAACTTCAACCAGGAGCAAAATTTCCTATAGCGTCCTCTAAAAGTATTCATGACACGAACTATTCATGACATGAAAGAAAAATATTTCATACGATACGGATACCGCCTACCAATGTAGTATTCCAGTTTTCGACCTCAGAAGCACATCATCTGAGACCTGTGGTTGGAGTGGGATCAGAAATATGACGCAGTGAGAAGATGGACCAGTGGATCTGAAAGCATTAAGACATGTTCCCTTGGATAACGCTTGGCAGAGGCAGGATGCCAAGCCCTAATTCCACATCATTGCCCGGGATTAGTGCTATGAACGAACCCATCCGTATCACTCTCTTACAAGAAGGACCTGGATAATATACGTCCTCCCAGCTACGGTTCATTGCCTTGCCAATTTCCACCCTCCATATATTTTCACTATAGAAAGGAAGAAATGAGGAGGAGGAGGAGGAAGTGGGGCGAACGCATGGGATTTTCTTTCCCCATCCGTTACTGTCCCGTGTTCCTGGTATTGCCCAACAATTCCGTCTCGTCTCGTGGCATGACAACAGCAATATATTCAGTAGCATGAATCTTTGGCGTTAAACTCTTCACAATTCTTTATATTCTTCATGACACGAAGTAACAAATTGTCAGCCCCGAAGGGCTTGAAGCCTGTATCTTCTTAATTGCTAACCTGTTCAAGGAGGAATGCTTTCCACTCGTGCTCCCGAAGAATCGTCAAAGGGCAACGAACGTATCAAGGAGCTCTTTCTCGATGAGATGGAAAGTATCCCACAGGTCAGTACGTGTTAATGGATGTAATCGAGAGCAAAATTGAGTAAATCAAAAACAGACACTATGACGAACGAGTTCATTACTCTCCACCTTTCCCACCCTTTCTCTTAAGTAGAGCCTCCAACCAAAATGAGGGGTTTGTCGTCTGGTGACCTCGGCATCAACGCAAGGCGTCAACCTGTCATCATGGAAAGGATTAACGTTGACCGAAGTTGCAATGGCTTCAGGTCGGTCGCGAATGACACCTAGCGGTCAGACATGAAACTAGTGTTTAAATATTTACACGGCAGAGGTCTCTGAAGGTCCACTTTCAGAGCCACTACCCGCTGAGCACTCAGCCCGGACGCAAGCAACTCTGCGCTGGCGAATGTTAACGCGGATCACCTGATTAATTGGTGCTAACAATACGCGGAGGACAGCAGACCTCGCTCATCCGTCTCAGCTGCTTCTTAGCCATTTAGTCTTGACTTGAGCAAGATGCGGTCGCGGGTGGGTCCAGTTCACTCAAGTGTTCACTCCTACCAATACCCGTTTAATCCAAGGCAATTGGTTACCCGTTCTCAATCTCCCTCTTAGTACGACTCACTCAAGCACAAAGTCGATGTCTTTTATGTTCAGCATTCGTGTGGTGAATGATTCTTCGATTTGTCCGCTATGTTCACTCTGCACAGGTTTTGTTTCGCTCATGAAAAATTCAAATTTAGGTATGATATGCAGTTAACATAATGCACTAAAAGTTTAAGCGAGAAGTATGTGGACCGGAGGTTGTTGTCGGCAATAACATTCCCAACTTCATTGAACCACATGAAATTGCGTCTTTTTTTTCTTCTGTTGTATTTTCAAATATGAGTGAGTTGCATTCTCGGAATAGATCCGATCAATGGTGGAGTGTTTTTTCTCATTTCAAAAGCTATATTTAATACTAGACGTTTAAAACCCTGTTCAAAGTTGTGGTAAATCACCTAATTGTCCAGTTATATTGCAAGCTGATTTGCGGGATCGTGGCCCTGACACGTTGCAAAACTTGACGACACGGCAGGACGCTTGCCATCTCTCTCTTTCTCCTTCGGTTCTTCTCATGTCCACAAATTGAATTTCACTTTGGTGAAAACGTTGCCACGGAGAATTACATGCGTACGTTAAGTCCTAAGTCGCTCTCAGCACCCTCATTCACTCCCCTTCTTCACTATATAAACAGAGTGGACGCCGAGTTACATAGGCAGTTAAGCCAACATCGAAAGATATATACCAGATTATACCAACGATTATACCAGAAACCCCCGGGACCCACGAAAATCTCCAGGCCATTGGCAAAAGCTATAACGAATAAATGAGTTGGCTGAAGAAAGCTAAAAATGAGAGAAAGCTGCAGGCTGGGTTACTGATACGATGGACCGGCTACGTTTGGGGTGCACGGCCGAACCAGAGCATTATTGTTAGAAAAACGCCTTTGTGTCTGTTCTCAATTCTCAATACCATAAAACTATCGAAGGAAAGGAAGTATTCCTAAATCCAATGCAGTCCCAGTCGAAGTCCTTCCGAAACGTATCATCCATTACCATCGGTTGTGCAATGGCCTCACTGCCATTTTATTTATTTTTATTTATGTTATATTAAAATAACGTCAGAAAGAAAGAAACCGAATTGAGAAATATGTATGGGGGAAAATGCACGGAACAGAATTCCATGAGTTACTGTCAAGTCCTTAGACTTTTAAACCAGTTATCGAATGTATTTATTATTCTCATTTCCTTCACATATACCTAGCAAGTCAGAGCCACTCGGGGTGCGGATTAACGATGGATTTTCAATACTACAACACTAATTGGGTTCTTATTACCATATGGAACCTGAACTTAATCATTTCTAGCCATGCCGAACGTCCTCTACCAGATACTTGGCAACAAATCATGGAATTCTGTTCTTGGCATTTTTTTTCTTCTAGGATTTCTTTTTTTTTTCTCAATTTAGTTTCTTTTTTCTTAGGTTCTTGTCAAAGATCGTAGCCGTAAGGCGGTAGGACTAGCCACTGTTAATGATGGTGCAGTTCAGATGGATTTCAGCTGGCACTACTTATGGATTTAGAAATACTTCTAATTTTCTGAAATTTTATAGGATTCAGAGTTGAAAGGAGAAATTGGCGTCACTAAAGAAGCCGGTTAAATGCATTAACTCGTTCTTATGTGATCTTTTTATTTTTATTTTTCGAACGTGTGATATAAATTCGCTGAAGCATCGAAAGGATTTTCAGAAAGGTTGACGTGCTGCCACCTAGTGATGAGGCAAGAAATTATTTGATACGAGATGCCATGAAACGATTTCATGGCATCTCCTTCTGTTCGGCTCCTTTTAGCTCAGAGATGCCATAGTGAGCCTAAGTACAGTTAAATGCAGCCGTCGTGGGTTAATAACCTTGCTCGGTGTTTCTGCTCTCTCTTTTAACTTTCTCTAGCCGACTCCTTTGTCTGTTTTGTATTATTTTTATTTCAATAATCTGAAGATAGTTGTTGGGACCTTTGGGGTTGGCATCGTTGCCCTCAGGTATGCCAAGAAGTAAACGGTTGCCCAACAGAATTCATTTGACTATTTATGATCGCCTCGGTCGAGAGCAATGCATTGCGAATCGTCGTCCCAGGAGATATCACATATACAGGGTATGGCAAAAAAAAGACCAACGACTTTTGACCTAAATATTTCCGCCATGCACAGAAGCTATTTTCGTGAAACTTTCATTTTGCATATGAGTATGTTCCGAACTGATTTGCAAAATGTCATCCGAATTTGTTCCATCCGCTGACCAGCAGGATCTCTTGTCCATTCTCAATGTCTAACTTTTTTCAATAATTGCTGATAGTATTGCATTGGCACAACAAAATTGCATGAAATTTTAATTTTCAGTTGAAAACATACTTGTATATGCAAATTATAAGTTTCGCGAAAATAGCTCTGTTGTGAGCGAAGATATTCAGGTTGAAGGTCGTCGATAATTTTTTGTTGTCATACCCTGTATATCTGATGAGAATAAAAACTAGTTTCCTGATAGAAGAACCCGAGGACTGCGAGCTACCGCAAACACTTAGGCATGGCAGAGTTTAACAGTCATCCTTCTGTCCATGTATCAAAATCAAACCAAAATATTTTTACGCAAGAGATCCAGAGGAATCTTAGCCTTATTCTTAGAATCTTGCATCTGTGCAACTTATTCCAAGCATTGGGCTTCCTGGTCGGGAATCCTGTGAAGCTTCGGATGTGGTGATCGAAGCGGGACGGAACAAGACTGGTTTTTACTCGAGCCTTTCAGCCAAAATGAAAATGGGGGGGATGGGGAAGGGGGGGGGGAGATGCCAGCGAGAGGTGGGGTCCAGGCATCACTTCAGCCTTTCACGTCAATATCGATTTGTGCCGAAGGCAAGCAGTTGTGCAAGATCGGCCCAGACGGGACAAGCACGAGATTGACTGAAGGCTCATGACCTCGGTCATCTCCCCTTCACCCTCACTTTTTTAGTACTTCTATTCGCTCATACCCCCCCCCCCCCCCCTTCCTGAACCTCTCGATATTTCCCTTCGCTCATCTGCCTTCCACCCCATCAGTACTTCCCCTCTCTCAGCACCTTTTAAGGAAGGGTTTAAAAGAAGGAACTATTTCCAGCCATCTCCTCCAAGAAAAAATCTCAATTTTGGTTCTGATCAGATATGCATATATAAGCATCCTGGACATATA